GACAGTCAATGGAGCCTTGTATTGGTCCAATACTGCCCCCTGCTGCATCTACACAATATGGTACTGCACCATAGTTTCATAATATTTAAACTCAGTAGCTCAGTGGTTACAATATTAACAAGATTGTATTTTGATGTTTTACTGTAATACTGTCTTTATGTTGTCCTATTGCTGTAATATATTGCACTTAAGTGTCAATAATTGCATTGGCAAGGTAAACTTTTTCTGTATACATACAATAAAATCCCTGGCGTTGTCCTCTGCCACATCTCCTATAGTCTCATGATGAGCACTGTGGGCTTTCATGCTGGAGATCAGGGTTCAAATCCAGCTACTGCTACTTTAACAAAAATCTCTTCAAACTTCATATTGTCACACAATTACCTTAATTACAAACACCTGCTGACGTGACAGGCACAAGCTGGTATAGAAAACACATTTGAACTTGGTCAAAGTTCATTCTGAAAGTCCAATGCTGCAGGCAAAGCCATGCTGCAATGACATGCTACATGGCAATGCACACTTGTTTTTACATCATAAAAACCCATGTCTAGTTTATTTTGAGTTTATTGAACCTAATGAAATAGAAATAAAGTGATAAACAACAGTAAATTTACACGTTCAGAGGAGCAGGTAGAAGTATAAATCATTTATAAATAATTAAATTTGTCTCTGTGCTGCAGAACTAAAAGAAAAGACGGGTCTGAGGAGCAAGCAGCCGAAGAGCAGAAATGTGTTTACTGTGTCGGGCCGAAGCAGCTGCCAGAGTTTTATAACCATGTAGGAGGGGCAGCTGTCCTCTACCAGACGGGGGACACGTGTCCAATTTGTGTCTCTGCCAAACAACTGATGGAGACACAACCAGACTTTACAGGAGAGACAGGAAACAGAGCCATCAAATCAAAGACAAACAGTCTGATTTCACTGAATTTAGACWGAAAAAACATTTTCACAGAGTTTTTGAAGCTCAGCAAGAGAATTATTTTTTTTATAAAACTGCCTCAAAGTGTGGGACAGAGACCAGTTTTGCTGAAGAGGTGCAGACTGGAGGATAGGGCTGTGTATTGGCAAGAATTTGGCGATACAATACATGTCATAACAGAGGGGTCACGATACGATATATCCCGATATATTGCGATACTGTAAGCAAGATGATATTTTGTGATTTTGTCCAAAAATTCTATTAAATAAAAACCTCTTACTGAAAAAAAAAGAAAAGAAAAGCTAATGTTTACTTACAATGCTAATGCTACCCTTACTCTCTGGTGC